AGAAAAAAAATTTGTCCTTTAAGTTTTCGAAAGGTTTTTTCTTGCTCTTTCGAACGGTACAAAAATTTGATTAAAAAATTTAAATTTTGACCCTTTTTTTGAAAATCAAACTTTTTTTTGACTTTTTTTTAAAATTAGGTCCTTTTGATTTATTTATTTTTTTTGAAAGCTAAAAATGAGTATTTTCACCACAAAAAAATTAAGATGTCCTGTTTTGTTATTTTCGAGATATTAATTTATTAATGTTAATAAAAAATTATATATTTTACAAATTAATAAAGTTATTGCAATCCTAAAGGTATCAAATGAACCGGATCTTTAAAAATTTTATTTAACCGCAATAAATAATAGAATCAAGTTTTTTTCCATATGTTCATAAATTTGAATTGAAATTTTCGATATATTCATTAATAGCATTTAAGGCGATGGTTGAATTAAAAAAATATTCTTTAGACGGTTGTTTGGAAAATTAATTACCTGTAATTTAAAAAAACGAAAATTAAAATCCGTCTACTGGAACCGGAGATATTTACATTTAAATAAAACGATTTTTTTCATAGTGAAAAATGTGAAAAAATAATTATATCTTAAAAACTGTTCTATTTTTGAGAGCACAATTTGAGTTTTCTACAATTCTGACATTTTTTCGTTCTTCTCGATTTGACATACGTGGAAAATGTGGGCTCTATGGGCCTAATGTTTCTCGTGTGGAGTCTAATACTAAAAATGTAAATGATGATAATTTGAACCAATTTCAAGTTCAAAAGCCTTTGAAAACTTGTTTTAATAAGAAAAGGAAAATCACTTTTAATTTAGAAAAAGTTTATATTAATTAATATTTGTATCTATATGAGTTGGACAACCCTGTTGAAAATTCCTATGTGAGAACACATATGGGATCCCATCCAGGATCTCTTGTGAGTTCTTATGTGGGTTCCCATACAGGTTCACACATAAGATCCTATATGAAAAGGTTCCTGGGATGAACTTGCGTGAGAGCTCGCGCATGATCTTATGTCTCTATAAAAGCAATAACACAGGATCCCATGAGGTTTCCTGTGTAGGTTCCTATATGAACAACACGATAAATAGGAACACACATGGGATCTTATCCGAGATCTTGTATGAGTTCTTACATAGGTTCTCACATATAAGAAGATTAATAGCAGCTTAATAAGATTTTATATAAAATCTTATTAAGCTGCTATTAGAAAAGGAAAAGTTTATTTTATTAATATTTGTATCTATATGAGTTGGACAACCCTGTTGAAAATTCCTATGTGAGAACACATATGGGATCCCATCCAGGATCTCTTAAAATAAGTAGGTCTTTAAAATAAGTCTCTTTTATTTTATTTTCTAATAATAAAAGATTTTATATAAAATCTTATTAAGCTGCTATTAATCTTCTTATATGTGAGAACCTATGTAAGAACTCATACAAGATCTCGGATAAGATCCCATGTGTGTTCCTATTTATCGTGTTGTTCATATAGGAACCTACACAGGAAACCTCATGGGATCCTGTGTTATTGCTTTTACAGAGACATAAGATCATGCGCGAGCTCTCACGCAAGTTCATCCCAGGAACCTTTTCATATAGGATCTTATGTGTGAACCTGTATGGGAACCCACATAAGAACTCACAAGAGATCCTGGATGGGATCCCATATGTGTTCTCACATAGGAATTTTCAACAGGGAATTCAAATTAAAAAAAGATTATTTTCTTATATGTATGTCACGTCACCGTAACATTTTTTATAAAAATAATAATAATTAATAATAATTAATAAATAAACATTTTATGTCACCATCACATTTTTTTATAATAAATAATAATTGTTGTTAATAATTAATTTTAATAAAATAAATATTCTTGTAATATTAAATTATAAACAAGCGTTAATAAATAAACAAATATTTGCAAATAACAAATGTATTTATAAACAAAAATAATTGTTAAATGTATAGACAAAAATAATCAATGTAAATCAATATGTAAAATTATTATATTTCATAAAGGTGTGATGTTCTTAATATTTAAAATTAGAAAAGACGATCTAAAAAGCAGGAAATCTATTATGGAGTCACCACTACTAAAAGAAAAAGCAATAAAGATTTTTCGTGTCTGTGAGGTCCCGACATTGAATCTACCCATAGAGGCGAACTGGTCCCGCTGCGAGAAATACATTGGAAAATATTACTATATAATGGGAGCCCTTTCACTAAGAAGGCAGTCCCAAATTATAAGCACGGAGTTCATTATAACGAGTGTAATAAACAGTTTTTAAAAATATACATCGAAGATACACAAATGTCATCATAGTTCACAAGTTAAAATTTTACATATTCAGAAGTTTTCGTCAGTTACGGTCTAGCCTAAAATATACCTGTGTAAATAAGGTAATAAAACTTTTACGACTTAGAAGATATAATCTTAGGAGACCCGGTGTTCGAAAAAAGGAAAAACTAATTGAAGAGTCATTACAAAGTTTATTTAAAGGTAAATAATATGAATCTTTAAAAATAAGGATTGTTTGATTGTCTTATAATAATAATTGAGAACATTTAACATTTTTAAATAAATAATTTTCATATTGTATTTTTTTAAACATTCATTTAATAATCCTTTCCCCAACTTAGATAATTTAACTAAGTTAAATTAAGGAATTAGAATAGGGAACAATTATAAGTTCAGCTTAGGTAAAATTAAAAATTATTTAAAATATGACATAACAGTACGTACGGTGGTAATGTATAAGTATGTAAGTTATGTAAAAGTTTAAGTGATTTAATGTAAAAATAATGTGAATAGTTTTTCGTATGAATCTTTGACTGACGATTTTTTATAAGTAAAGTAAAAGCTGTGATTTTTTTAAACTGATTGCGATTTACACACTTTGTGATTCGAAAAATTTTAATCATATGATAATGTATGTTTTTTTTTGTATCGTTCGACACTCGGAAGGAGTACGTGGGGAATGTATTATATTCTTTTTCTTTTACTAAAATGTGCACAAGTCAATATGTTGAATGGTTTTGAGTAATAGAAGACTCATTACAATATAGTCTGTTTCGATACATTTTATTGGGATCTGACATTCGTACACATGCCATCTGGTGTTGAAAAATGTAACTAGTTTTGGATAACTGTTTGTGTCACTTGCAATTGTAGTTCCGCTGTCATTGTTAATTATTTTATCATTATGAATGAAGCTACATTTTTACCGCGTGAGAAATCTTCCTGCAGAATTAAGTGTTCTGTGAGAGGCTGTGGCAGTACTGTAGCGAAAAATTTAAGCGTAATTTTCCATAAATTTCCGAAACCAAAACAACGAGTAGTGGATGTGAAATATACGTTCGATAATTTTGAAAAAGTCGATCAATTAAAGGCCTGGAAAAATGCTTTAAAAATAAACAGTATAAAGCCTTCTATGAGAGTATGTTCTCTGCCTTTCAAAAGAAGTGATTACATTTTACCATGTAAGTTTAAGATTTTAAAATTTTGAGGTTATATAATCTTTCATATTACCCGTGTATGTGAACATTTTGAAAGTTAATTTATCACTGTAAAAACGGATAAATACATTTTTTTTTCACTTCTTGTTAACAGACTTTTACAATGAAAAATGAAATACATACATTTATAAATTTTCATATAATTACATGAAATATAAAAGGAAAATACAATACTTTTCTTGCACATGTATCGCTGGATTTGAGAAAATAATTTGTATAAAAATAAGATTTCTTTTATATTTTTATTCATGTTTGTAAATAGGAATGTAAATAGTAATTTTGTATTAGAAAAATTCACTTATACATTTATTAAATTAAGCAATATTTTTTAAACGATTTTAAAAACGATTTTTAAACATGCATCCCATGTTATTCCCATGTAAATTCACTAAAAGTGTTACCCAATTTACGCCATATTGCTTTAGGCCCCGCCCCCATGTCAGATCCCAATATGGTCGATTCCACGTGAGATTTATCTATGACACTTTAAATTTGGTAAATATATTTTTTCGATCTTTATAGAAAAAAAAGGTTTACGTATTTTTTTTATGTGCTCAAATTTTCGAGTTATTAATTTTTAAAAATCTGATTTTTTCAAGTTTTTATAAAATACACCTAATTTTAATGACATCTAACTCTAAAAAAATTGAATTTAGGAATTCAGACCAAGATACAAAAAAGTTTCAGTTTTTCATCGACTTTCAAAATATGTTAACGAAAATTTTTTTTTTTGAATTTGTTTATAAAAAACAGCGATTTTTTATAAACAAATTAAATTTTTTTAAATTTAGGCGTTTTATATTTTTTTTATTTTTACACATATGAAAATAAGAAGAAAATTTTGTAATAAGTTTTGGAGTAAGCATGTTGATCCTTTTGTTTATATAATTTGTTTAAAAAATTTTTTTTTACTTTTTTTTCGTATTTTTTTATTTTTTGAAATGAAAAGTGTTTTGGGCACTACGATCTTTTAGTAAATTCATAGAAAAGCAAATTAAAATACATTTTTTTTGAAAAATAAAAAAAAAGTAAAATTATATTTTTTTTAAACAAGTTATATAAACAAAAGGATTATTATGCCCAATAAAAGCTTGTCAATACTCAGAACCTCTTGCAGGTGATCTGAGGTTAAAATATTGACCTTAAACTTAATTTAAAAATTGTAAATTAAGCTCTAACACCTCTTGTCCCCATTTACCCCCTGTCCCATTTACCCTAACTGACTCTAAATCTTTTTTCTATAAAGATCAAAAAAATATATATTTACCGAATTGAAAATGCCATAGGTAAATTTCACGTGGAATCGCCCATATGTTTTTTATATTTAGTCTTATAATTCAAATACCCTCAACCTCCAGAGAGAGGGCTAAAATTCGAGCTGTCTTCTCGACGAAGTCTCCAGTTTAGGTTCAAATATATTGCTTTCTAAAAATTTATAGTCTTATTAAATAATAAAATTTTCTACAAAAGCATTCTTACCATTTTTGATTGAAGGTTGACATTAGAATTTTCAAAAATTCTTTTTGCAATTGACATATGCATAAAATTACGTACATCAGCAAGTGCCGCTAGCATAACGGCAGTATAACCAGCTGTATTAGGTTTGTTTAAGTCACATACTTGAGAATTCAAGAGTGTAGAAGCAATATCAAAGTTTCCAAAAGATACTGCATAGTGCATAGCAGTATTTCCACTGCAATCTGTCACATTTACAATATATTTTAAAAGTGAAATAGTGTAATCTTGAAAAAAGTCCAAATAATCAGCTACATCACGAGGATTTGCATTCTCCGTACTTGATATTTTAAACCATTCTTGTTGTATTAAATTATATGCACTTTTAATCTGAGAGGAGTTATTTCTATTAGATGACTTTTCAAAATTATCATTAATTATCTTTATAGCAGATACTATTTCTTTTGTTGATATAAGTTTCTTTCTAGGTTTTATTGTTTGAAATTGAAGATCTGTATATTTCGAATAATTTTTCTCTTTATATTCAGTACTGTCACTGAGGACAGTTTCTTCCTCAAAGAATGCATTTCCGTCATTAATGTCAATAAATTTGTTAAGTTCTAATCTGTAAAAATAAGAGTAACAAAATTTATAGTTTTTATAAAACTAGTGTATAATTATGGTATTTAGAATTTTGTAGTTTAACAGCACTTTCCTACACAACCCGATATCTTTCTAAAAGAATCCTGGAAAGATTAGAGATTCAAATTGAAGCTTCCATTTCAATGTCCCTGATCTTCCTAGGTGGGACCCCCCTATTGAAAGTAACAAAATTTATAGTTTTTATAAAACTAGTATATAATTATACAGGCCGACAAAATTTTATCAACTTCATGTTGACTAAAATGTTACAGCCGATTCTTATAGAATTTTTGCCGTAGAATCCGAATCTGACCTTGAAAATATCCAATTGGCTCTAGTTTTCGAGCAACAAGAGTTTTAAAGTGCCAAAAAACGCGTTTTTGGCATTTTTTGCACAGCTGTGAAACAAAAAGGTGAGGGAATTAAATGTTCTACATAGGATGAAATGAAAGCTTAAACATTGCTTTTTAATATCAAAAATCAAACAACTTGGTTTTGAACAATCAAAACAACTTAGAACACGTTTTTTGACTCACAGTGTGAGTGAAATATGACAAGAAAGTATAAAAAAGACAGCAAAAATTCATTATTACGTCGAGCTACCTAAAATAACTAAAAAGCTTGCGAAGCAAACTTTCAGAAGTTTACCACTGCGAGCTTGCATCTTAAAAATTTTTTTTTGTAAACGTACATTGAGTACAATGTCTGTGAGATAAAACTGTAAACTACGCAGCCTTAAGTACAATACAATTCTACTGCGCAATGTACAAAACTTTGCAAGCTTTTCGTGCAAATTTACTATAGTGGTAACATTTTGCTAATTGTATAAAAAGCTTGTAGGTGAATTGGTACGGTTAAAGTTGTTTAAATCATCTGATATAAAATTTTTTGATATTGGATCTTAAAAAGCAATGTTTAAGCTTTCATTTCATCCTATGTAGAACATTTTATTCCCTCACGTTTTTGTTTTACAGTTGTGCAAAAAGTGCCAAAAACGCGCTTTTTGGCACTTTAAGACTCTTGTTGCTCGAAAACTAGAGCCAATTGGATATTTTCAAGGTCAGATTCGGATTCTACGGCAAAAATCCTATAAGTATCGGCTGTAACATTTTAGTCAACAAAATTTTGTCGGTCTATGTTATGGTATTCAGAATTTTGTAGTTTGCAAGCACTTTCCTACATAACCCGATATCTTTCTAAAAGCATCCTGGAAAGATTAGAGATTCAAATAGAAGCTTCCATTTCAATTTTCCCGATCTTCCAAGGTGGGTTATTAGATCCCTCTATTGAAAACATATGGTAAGATCGTGATCGAGGTTCCTTTATAGAAACTCTTATGAAATCCTAGGTTTTACATAGAAATCCACATAGGATCCCATGTAAAATTATATAGGAAATTGGGACCTATCCTATAATTTTTCTGAAAAATTATTTTTGTCAGTTTCCTTCATAATAAACTCACATCAAATCTTATAAATATGGGTATATTGTTTTCCTGTAGCGCACTAAGTGAAAAAAAAGTTTATCGGATCTGGCTGTAACTTGCACATAGTTTAGCCCTAGGGGTGAGTAATTCAACCACAAAGTATTGTTACATTTTTCAAAAACTGTCGAAGAGGGAGGGGGTTGAATTTTTTTTAAAATTTAAACAGTGAATATTTGAAGACTTGTAACTTTTAAACAGAAAGAAGAAGAAAAATTAGTCCTATATGTTTTTGAAAGGTTTATTTCTGCTCTTTGAAGTGGTGCTTCTAAAAATTCTTCTCTTTCAAAAAATTCAAATTTTGACCCTTTTTTTGAGATGTCCTTTTTTCTTATTTTCGAGATATTAATTGATTAATTAATTAATTAATTAACGAATATCTCAAAAAATCACAAAAAAGGACATCTCAATATTTTTTGTGGTGAAAATACACATTTTTAGCTTTTAAAAAAATAAATAAAAAGAATAAAAAGGACCGAACTTAAAAACAAATTCGAAAAAAGTTTAATTTTCAAAAAAAAGGGTCAACATTTAAATTTTTTGAAAATTTTTTTGCACTATTCGAAAGAGCAGGAAAAAACCTTTCGAAAACATACAGGACAAATTTTTTTTCTTTTTTCTGTTTAAAAGTTGCAAGTCTTCAAAAATTCACTGTTTAAATTTTTCAAAAAAATTCAACCCCCTCCCACTCCGACAATTTTTTAAAAAACCCAACAATACTACGTGGTTAAATTACTCACCCCTAGGTCTAAACTATGTGCAAGTCACAGCCAGATCCGATCAACTTTTTTTTCACTTAGTTCGCTACAGGAATTTTATCCCATATATATATATATATATAAAATTCTAAAGATTTCCCTATATAAAATATTACATACACTCTTAAGTAAAGAATAGAGCGATCTCGTGCGCATATCGTTAATTGGATTTGCACGATTGGCCTGAACTAAATTTTATTAATAATTTCAGTAACTCTAAATTTTTTTGCTGATTCTGAATTTATATTCTTTTTGCTTTAATTTGTTTAAAAAAACCGTGATTTGCTTATTTTTTGCGTTCTTTTTTATAGTAGTTTATTTCAAACGTTTTACTTACTTCACGCTTAGTACTGTCAGATTCTTGTAATTTCTTTATTGTATTTTTGTCAGTGTATTTGGCTAAAAAATGCCACATCAGGCTCTAACGCATGAGCAAAATCGTAATAAAGTGTGTTTATGGTGTACACTGTTTTTCAAATTAAAAACTTTTAAACCTATTAAATCCTATTTATGTTTTAAATACCCTATCGTTTATTAGACTGTTTAAAAAAATACAAACAAAATGAGTCTAACTCGCAGTAAATAGCTCTGTAAATCAGTTTTTAGTATATTGATAAAAAATTATTTTTCTCAAAAAGCCGTGCGCCGATTTTCAGGTCAACCGTGTTTGGTAGCATTTGAAGTGCTACACTTATGTAAACTATAGACATTGATAGGGTAGCATCGATAGAAGTGGGCCACTAGCTATTTTTGTTTTCACAATTGACATATCTGTCAACCAAATTTTTTTCTCATAATTATTGACAGGAGCTGAGTTTTCAGTAGACTTTCAAGTGTGCAAACGCACATTTGTGTTCTCCAACAATTAGTGCTAAAAAATACATACATTTTTCTATTTTTCCTTGAGAAAGATATCGTTATTTGCAGTTTAAGCTCAATTGGTTGAAATGGCAAGGTTTTAGAGGGAAGGGCATGATTTTGTGGACGGACATGAGTGAAACCATAAGGGTGCCGTTTCAGTTCACTGCGTGAACGGAACCCTAAAGATTGATCGGATTTGCTTAAAACTCGTTTAAAAATCTGATGTCAAATTCGTAATCAGTGACCTCAAAAAAACCCCCCGAGTAACAAGTTTTAAGCAATTCCAATTAATTTTTAATTTTGTCATCCGCCATTTTGAATTTTAAAAATAAGATGTCAAATTCGTCATCAGCGACTTCAAAAACCCACCTAGTATGAATTTTTAAGCAAATTCAACGAATTTTTAAGTTTGTCATCTGCTATTTTGAATTTTGGAAATCTAATGGCAGATTCGTAATCAGCGACCCCATAAACCTCCGAGTAAAGAGTTTCAAACTAATTTGGTCAATTTTTATTTAGCTATTTTCTACTTAAATTTTTGTAACCAATTGTGTCCATCTTTGAAGCGCATTTGTAAAAAGACTGATGAAGCTGAAGATGCGCGGTTTGTTACGTTCAAAAGAGCACATCTTTTTCTATAAGAATCAACAAAAAAGTGAAAATCGATTTTTTCGGACATAAGGTCCTTTTTAACTATCTAGGTCACATTTATTGAATAATTATGTATTTGAAATACTTTTAATGAGAATGATAAAAATCAAACATTTTAATCATTAAATTCCGTTTTATTGCACTGTTTCGTGATTTTTTGCACCATTTTCCAATTTTAAATGAAATTGGAACAAAAAAATCTTTCAAATGCACAAAAAACCACTTTAAATTAACTTTAGTGACTATTAGTATTCACGCAAGTGTCAAATGTGTAATTATAATGAAAAACTTAGGTGGTCCACTCATGAAAATCAACAGTGTTTCACTTTTGCTTATCCGTTTTGCATGATTAATTGCACTGCCTAAATAATACGTGAAAACCAAACTAACTTACAAATAGTTCTGAATACAAACATGCGTCCTTTCAGTTCGGATTTCCACTAAAAATAGTTTTGAGGCAATGTGCTCCTATTACCAGAAACATTTAAATAGTGAAATAGTTCCAATTTTTCAAATAATTTAATTTTCACATTTATACCTACTATTTAATCAATTCGGAAATTTTCTTAAATCAGACACCCTTATAATCAATTTATTTTTAAATATAAAATGTTTTACAAGGCCGAGCGCTCAGACATTGGCATCAGTATGTATATATAAATGTGTGAAGAAATAATTTTTTTGTAAATTATTGTAAATAATACTATTGAATTGTTTTAACATATTAAAAATATAACTCACCTTCCATCATTTTCATATTGTTCCTTATTATCTTTTTTTTTTAAATGCGAATTGTTTTCTGATGCCTCAAGTATGGCACGATGAAAAGTTGGAGTTGTTGTTTCTTGACTTATATTATGCATATTATATTTAACTTGATTTTTTAATTGGTTTGAAATGTTTTTACAATTATCGCAATAATTTGTTGCACAAGAAACGTTTTCATTAAATTTGAGCGATTCACCTACTGACATATCAATAAATTTTTTTCTTACTGGTGAGGTACCAAAATCCCGAGTTCGTGGTCGTAAATCAAATGTGTCTGTATGCTTTGATGCAGATTTTATTAAATCAGTAGAAGTTACATTTACATACTTCGATGCCACTTTCTTCAGCTGTATATCATCATATTTAAACGGTGTATTATGCAAATTCATTGAATTTAAAGAAATTGAATTAGATGTCGTTAGATCAGGTCCAACTGCTACAGATTTTGGTGCATTATGATTTATCGTATCTGTGCCACTGTCAAATGTTACTGGTTTTGCTGTAATTGACATATTATTTCGTAATATGTTTATTGGTGAAGTTTGCATTTGTTTATCCTTCATACTTTCTTTACCTCGTAATTTTTCAATTGATCTTGTTACATTTTGTGAATTTAAGTGGTTTTTTGAACTTACAGTAATATCATCCACCATTTTAATGTCGTTAGTTGTTAAAAGCGTCATTGTCTGTTTATGTGCCACCTCTATAATTTTTTTATTCATTTCAAATTTGTCCTCTTTACTGCAAACTAAGAAGTCAGAAGGAATATTCGTAGGTACTACTTTTTGTACTACAGTATTAATGCCACAATCTTGAAAGCTATTTACATGTGCAAATGGAGTTGTTTTTCCATTTAGACAATTTTTTTCTAACATTGATTGATCATTTTTCAATGGAATGTCACTTTGAGTTGATTTAGATACCTTGAAATTTGTTGTAGTAGTAACAGGCATAATGTATTCAATTTGGGTCTTGCTGTTAGTTAGCTTTCTTTGAGAACTGGAAGGTAAACTAATTAATATTCCTGCATCTCTAGTTTGAACCTGAAAATGTACAATAAGCTTTCAAAACGTTTTTTAGTAGGAAATAGTTTTATGTAATTATACAGTAATTACGCTCGTATTTATGATCATATAAGACCGTAATTAAAGAAATTTAATTTTTTGGCAGTAATTAGGATCATCTTTAGGGTCTTAATTATGACCGTAATTATGTGTGTTTGAGTCAGAGCACATCAACAGTTTTTACATTTTACATTGATAGAAAAAGGTGAATATGATATTAACATAGCAGTTTTTGTTGCAAGTTGAGACATTTCTGGACATGCAGGTTGCGACGCGCATGCGCTGATTTAAAATTAAAAATTATTTTTATGTACTATGCAAATAAACTGAATATAAAAATGGTAATAATATTAATAATAATAAGAAATTTTTAAAAGTATGAATTTAATTGTTATTATGAATATTTATTTATCATAAAACACACAAAAAATTGCAAATATGAGAGCATTATTACCTTTCATTTTTAAATGTATTATTGAATATATAGAAAATAATTATTCTATTATTTATTACTATTTATGTACAATATACATTTTTTTTATTTTAACGTCCCTAACAATAAATAAAAATTAATTATTTAAAAACTATTTAAAAGTTTCATAATTTATTTAAATGCCTTTGAACGGATAACTTGTTCATTATACAAAGAATTTATAATAGAGAGATTTATTAAAATGATTATTGTTAATTCCATTTATTAATGGTGCATCCACTTGAATAGAATTTTAAGCGGAAAAATTTTCTTTCGTGGCGGAAGCATCGTGGCAAGAATTACGCGAGAGGAGTATATAAAATATTCAAAAAGATTACAGGGAACAAATAAGGAGTAAGTTATTTGTTATTTTATTTATACACTAAGAAAAAATATTTCCTGTTTTAAACATAAAATATTTTAAAGCGATTTTGATTACTCTCATACACTGAAAAAAATAATTTAATTTAAATACTCGCTTACTTGATTTTTATTAAATAAATGTTTATTTTAACAAAAAATTTTACATTTAAATTTAATAGATAGATAGATATATAGATAGATTGATAGATTGATAGATTGATAGATTGATAGATTGATAGATTGATAGATTGATAGATTGATAGATTGATAGATAGATAGATAGATAGATAAATAAATAAATAAATAAATAAATAAACAAATGAACTTTTTATTAATTTGGACCATATTAAGTTTCATTTTTTTATGATTTATTCATGCTTGAAAATATACATCAGATTTTGCAAAAAGAGCCGGAATGCACCTGATGAGTTAAATAAGTTTAAATGAATTTTTAAAAATTGCTTGCAAGCTTCACGCGCGCTACAACAAACTTAATAAACAAATATATAGTACCGCTGCTTTTACATATATCAGATTTGGTTTTGCTGTAATTTTCTTTAAACTTTAAGATAATGTATATTTATAATATTTAACAAAATCAATAATTAATTAAATAATTTTTATATTTTTAATAACAATTTTTTATAAACAAAATATTTTTTTGTTATTTTCACCTAGCCTCTATAGCTCTGTTCTTTATTTTTTTATTATTTCTCTCATATTATAATTCAATGTAAATACTAGCAATATTGAAACGAATGTTAGTTAACAAATTTAGAAAATTGTTGCTATCAGACATTGAAAATTATTTTTATATACGGGGCAAAATTCCTGTAGCGTACTAAGTAAAAGAAAAGTTTAGCACTATGAGTTAGTTATTAAAAATATAAAAATTATTTAATTAATTATTGATTTTGTTAAATATTATAAAAATACATTATATATAAGTTTAAAGAAACTTAAAGCAATTCTAAATCTGTAACATGTAATAGCAGCGATACTATGTATTTATTAATTAAGGGTTGTTTAAACAATGCTATGTGTAAAAATTAATTTAAGTAAGTTCTAGTCATTTACCTTGACTAATAATATTGCACATTTCTTTCAATATGTCATTAATTTCGTAATAAAGAACTGAAATCATTAAAATTGTTTAAAAAATTGTACAAAATTTTTCTCAAAAGACAAAATAAAAGGCGTTATGCAGAATTTTATCGTCTTTAAAATATGACCTATGTTAATTTGTCCACGGCTTATTATCCACTAACTTATTTAACTCATCAGGCCCATGCCGGCTCTTTTTGCAAAATCTGATGTATATTTTCAGGCATGAATAAATAATAAAAAAATAAAACTTAATATGGTCCAAATTAATTAAAAGTTCATTTGTTTATAAAAAATTAATTTTTTTTCATTAAAAATTAAAAAAAAAATTTTCTTAAATTTCTTAAAAGTTAAAGAAAAATCAAAACTTTTTATTTTTGAAAAAAGACTACTTTCTTAGACAATCTTTTAGTTCTGGACAATACCTTTTTATCGGCAGATAAGACTTTTTGTTAAATTTTTTTTGTTTAAAAATTTTTCCAAAAAATAAAGTCCGTCTCAACCTGCACACATCTCCCCTACATGTAATATTAACTTAAGGCGAACATTCAGAAATTATTATTGAAAATATTAATACTATGTATTAACAATTTAAAATTATACTGAAAAAATTAAGTCCCTGACAAAATGTCAATAATGCTTTACAAAGACCTAAAAACCTACCCTATATTTTGGGTGGCTTTTTTCTCAGGAGATGTCTCATATGTCATATTTGTTTTGAATAACATTGGGAAAATATTACCTGCTGATGAGAAACACCGATGTCTCTAGTCATAACTGTACAAGAGATGCCAATATCTCTTTTCAGTCTTACAGAGGTTTCTATTTTATCTCTACAAGATTGATTTTCTGAAAATGAATGGCTCCGTAATCTATGGGATTTGTCACTGTTTAACATTGAACCGTTGTACTCTCTCAATTCCTGAAGTAATTTTCTTTTTTCTTCAGCAAGAACAAACAATTGTACCTAAAAAATTTTTTAAATAATTTCGATTAAAAACTTCCTATAACAGAAAATTGAAAACTATTACAAGTAAAAACTACGTGATTGGGTTTATAGTATGAACATTTTTAATTCCTCACAGAAGAAAAATTATTTTTTAAAAAAGAAAAAAATTTGTTGTTGCACGACATATACAAAAATAAATATATATGCATATATATTTTTATGAATAACATTTGTTTTCCTATTTCTTTGTTAATATTGAATAGAGGGGTCAGAGAGAAACCTTTTTTTATTTTTCTTATTTTTATTTTATCAATATTTATTTTGTGTTAGGATTTTATACTAACGGAAATTTGAAATGTAACTTCAACTCTAGTTCCTTCTAGAAGGGAATAGTATTATTTGTTTATATTAGTTGTAGGGGAAAAGTGCCGGTTGTGGGCATCCCTACGTAGTTTTTCATAGCATGTAGATGTTCCTGATCTGAGTACGGTCAAACTTGTATGTTGACAGTACACTTCAAATCAGTTTTTTGGAATTATCTTCAAAATTTGAGCCAATCTGACAATTCTGACTTCGAATTCAGCAGGAAAAAATACACTATCGTAGTGTTTCGGCAAAAAAAAATTATCTGTGCCCCTAATACAGAATTTTTATCAGTTTTTGCCAATAAGCTCAAAGAAATTTTTTTTTGCCAAAACAATACGATAGTGCATTTTCATGTATTTTTTCACGCTGAATCCGAATTCAAAGTCAGAATTGACAGATTGGCTAAAATTTTGAAGATAATTCCCAAAAAAGTGATTTCAAGTTTTTTTGAGTTTTTTGTTACTTGAGTTTCTTGCTACTATCTCAAAAATTTAAGCGAATCTAACAATTCTGACTTTGGATTCAGATTCAGCGGCAAAAAATACATGGAATTACACTATCGCATTGACATTCAAAAATTTTATAACTTTTTGATTTTATTTTTTTTCTGAGCGGTTTTTTGAGTTTATTTTAAAAATAAAAAATACATGGAAATAGACTAGTGAAGTGTCTCGGCCAAACAGCTTTTTATTTTATGTGTGCCTGTGTTATTAAGTTTAATGTATTGTTCTGTGCATTAAACTAATGTTACGGCGTAACAACAGATCTGTAGGTGTTTGTAATAATAATAAGTTTGAAGTTGCAAAATTAAGGAATTTTAAAAATATGTGTATTTTCAAGAAAGAACAATGATTATAGGGGAGCACATGATGCTAAATGAGGATTTACTCGAGCGTCGTCGCAACGATGATATTTTGTAGTTTAGATGATGAGGAAAATAAAAAGATCTATATAGTTTTCCCTTTTAGTTGTGCGTTATGCGTATACAAATTTTTAAAAATGTAAAAAAAACAATTGCTTGGAAATACTTAAGCGTGTAACAATTTAATAGTTTTGATACTCTAACGTGTCTCTGTTACCAAAGGTACACGGAGAGAAATTCCTCACTATTTTCGTATGAAAACTACTTACTCATTAAGTAAAACAACTGCTTCGACAATAAAGCATAAAATTTATACCAATACCACTCTTGAACATACTAAAATAGTTTGGGTTATTCCTGAGAGATAAAGCGTCGTTGATTCTTCTATATTCGTAGCAACTTTATGGTCTGTATGAATGTCATGTGAATCTAGTTCTTCATACTGCCGTGCGAATTTCGTTCAAGGCACATAGTAATATAGCCTCAACGTCGAGCGATTATTTCAATTAGTTTTAAATACTCGTGAAATAATCGCTCGACGTTGACGCTATATTGGTATGTGCCTTGAACGAATTTCGCACGGCAGAGAGGGAAACTATTTTGACTCATCATTCGTGCAATACAGCCATAAAGTTGCTATTAATAACGTTAATACCAGTAATGGTGTCATGGCGACAGAGAGCAGTGTCAGGAATCGGGATTGTGCGTGAGAGTCAGAAATAGGGAAAAAGTGAAAAGAAAACTGAGGCACAGAGTGGGGAATGAGTGTTGTACTCCAGTTGCGCGCTCTACTCTCCAGAAACGATTTTCATTACTTTGCCTTTTGGAAATCGTCAGATTATATTTTATTCGTCATTCTTATTTTATTTCCTTCAAATTAAAAAAAACTTAACCGGGCTCGAGAATATATAGACAACATTTTTTTTGCAAAGTAAACCTTCCGCTCTCTTACGTTACGCTCCAATCGTCAAATTTTTAAATGTACATTTTTTAACTAGCAATTAACCCACCTTACCTTAATCTGACGCGCTTCAATATTTCCAACCATTGATTTTTGTTACTAATCTGATGGATTATCCTAGATCCTAGTCTTAATAAAAAGAGTTAAAACTTGGAAGAGGTACTCAACAACATGCAAAGTATCCCCCTGTGTTCATCTACCGCGCTCGAGTTAATCCCAAAAAACACATTGGGCTCCTCTACTATGAAGCAAGGGACTATTGCAATAACAATGATTGAGCTGAAGAACGTAACGTTAATTGTTTAACGGTTACAAAAACCAATTTATTAAAGTTTGTTCAAATTTTAATCATTACCAATCGAAAGAGCATAAAAAATGTGTCAGAATCCATGAGTTTTATTCTAAATTTGATGTCGGAAAGATATGAAAAATCAAAATATTGAAGAAGTTATGGCTTCTCAAACGTTAACGATCGCGTTAACGGGTGCTTATTAAAGTTTGTTCAAATTTTAATCATAACCAATCGAAAGAGCATAAAAAAATGTGTCAGAATCCATGAGTTTTATTCCAAATTGGATGTCGGAAAGATATGAAAAATCAAAATTTAATAAGCACCCGATATACAGGACAAATTTTTCTTTTTCTTTCTGTTTAAAAGTTACAAGTCTTCAAAAATTCACTGTTTAAATTTTTTAAAAAAATTCAACCCCCTCCCTCTACGACAGTTTTTGAAAAAACCTAACAATACTTCGTGGTTAAATTACTTTCCCCTAGGGGTAAACTATGTGCAAGTTACAGCCCGAACCGATCAACTTTTTTTTCACTTAGTTTGCTACAGGAATTTTACTCTATATATACAGTTAAAATAAATGTATGTCTAATCATATTGAAATTTGTGGTCACAAAATTAATTTTGTTATCCTACCCAAATTATCCTCAAAATAGTTACACAATATTGATTTGGTGTGCAACAGAAACGTCAATAAAACTAATGCGCCTCAACAACTAAAGTAATTTTTTATTAAGGGGTTAGTACCACATCTCAGTGACTTTTCTTAAATATTTTTTTTTATTACAAAATCTATTTTGTCATCGAAAAATAAATTTTTTAATATTTTCTTGGAAAGTAAGCTTCTTGCTATCGTCGGAACTACAATCAACTATTTTCGATGAAAAAAACAAAATGTCGGACATTTTTCATTTTATTTGACCTTGTTTTTTCAACTTTAATTGTTTTAAAAAAATGGTTAAATATTAATAAAAAATTATGATTCTAGTTCCGACGATAGCGGTATATACGTAGAATAAGCCATAAAAATATGACCTTAATCGGTGCAATAGTTTTTCTTTTATAATGTCCGCTAGGTCAAAAAACGTTGTTTTGAGAAAACGCGAATTTACGAAAACATGTCCTTTTTCAAGAAAATACCCGAGAAAATACCCCCTTAAACGACATGGATTAAGACAAATATGTTTTTACCCTGGATGAAGCATGGCAAAACATTTTTTGTTTTTTTATTGATTTTTTCTTACTTTTACCCTTGGCGAACCATGGATTGAGACACAAAATGTTTTGCCATGGTTATCCCAGGGTAAAAACATTTTTGTCTCAATCCATGGTTCGGCAATGGTTAAAGTTACAAAAATTCAATAAAAAAGACAAAAAATGTTTTGCCATGGTTCATCCAGGGTAAAACCTTTTTGTCTCAATCCGTGGATCGCCAAGGGTTAAAGCAAGAAAAATTCAATAAAAAAGACAAAAACTGTTTTGCCATGCTTCATCCAGGGTAAAAACATATTTGTCTCAATCCATGGTTCGCCAAGGGTTAAAGACAGTGACAAAAATTCAATAAAAAAGACAAAAAATGTTTTGCCATGGTTTATCCTGGGTGAAAAAATTTTTGTCTTAATCCATGGTTCGCCAAGGGTTAAAGACAGTTACAAAAATTCAATAAAAAAGACAAAAAATGTTTTGCCGTTGTTTATCCAGGGTAAAAACATTTTTGTCTCATTCCATGGTTCGCCAAGGGTTAAAATGCATTAATTTCATTACAATCAAAGAAATGTATTTCTGCTCTTCAGCCAGGCATTTCCCAGACCATGGGAAACGATCATAAGTAAGGGTTCCCCCAGGGAATGTATTTGCCCTATCCTATGGTTTCGCCAAGGTTTCCATAGCTTTTCTACAAATATCTACTACAAGAATATGCAGTTTTTAGAAAATCGATTTTCTTGAAAAAAGATGTGGTTCTAACCCCTTAATATAATCCTTAAGCATATTGTAAACTTTATATATTCATCCCATACGTAAAAAAGAAAAAAACTTTTTTCGTTAATCATTTATACATTTTATTTTTCTTGAACTGTACTTATAATAATAAAACAAGTTGAAGATAAAGCCATAAGATTATTTTTCGTTGATGGCTAATACAAAAATTACAATAGAGTAACGTGACCATATCCTCGCCGCCGTAATTCGAGACACCCGAATTTTTGTCCTGGTAAGAAAAAAAAACTTAGTGGACAGACTACTACTAACATTTCATATATTTTTCTGACGAATGAATTTTTCTTAAAAATTCGTTCTCATATCTATATAGTTACCCTTACCCAGAACAATAGCATTTTTATTTCTGGAATCGAATTAAGTGATTGGGATAGGTTTTTTGATGCTGAACACGAATCCGAACTCAAAATTTATCCATTACCCTGTATTTTCGAGAAATTTAACCTTGAAAATTTTAAAAATGCCATTTTAGGGTACTTTTTGATATTTTATGAGGGCACAAAAATTTATTTGGAAGTTTTTGTTATATGCATTTAAAAGCTTATATCTCCCTGAATAATTTGCAATTTAAAATATTTAACAATATTTATTTTTGTATGAGATATATCCTTGTTTGAAGTTTGCATTTGAAAAAATTGATAGATTCCGTTAAAACTTGTTTCTTGGGGATTCCAAGGTCTGTATAGGCTTACTTTAAATTTTAAATAGTACATTTTAGGACCCTTATACGCAAGATAAAAAATTTCAAATTTAGGAAAAATCCAAAATTAAAAATTTTTTTCTCCTGCGTATATGGGTCTCAAAGTTAACTATTTAAGATTTAATTTAAGCCTACAAAGAAGTCTCTATTTCTTCAGGTTAAGAAAAAAAATACTGAAAACCCTCAAAACCTTGTTTTTTGAGGTATTTACCCCTATTTTTTCAAAATCCTGACGTGATGAGCAATTTTGGAACACGGGATCGTATTCAGCACATAAAAATACAGTTGAAATCACTACGATATCTAAGAAATATCTTGTAGACCTGTGTTAGTGACCCTGGAAACCTCCGAAAGACAAGTTTCAATCAAACCTATCAATTTTTTCAAATGCAAACTTCAAACAAGGATATCTCATACAGAAATAAATATATTTAAATGTTCTAAATTGTAAATTGTTCAGCAAGATATAAGTTTATAAATACATATACATAACTTCATAAAAAATTTTTGTTCCATTATAAAAAGTCAAAAAGTATCCTAAAAACGGCATTTTTTCAATCTTCAAAGACAATTTTCTCGAAAACCTAAGGTGATGGAGCAATTCTGAGTTTAGATTCGAGTTCAGTGTCAAAAAAACTCTAAGAATCACCATATGCGATCCTAGAAATAAAAAATTGAAATTCTATTGGACAGTGTTATGAAACTTTCTAAAAGTGTGAACACAAAAAATTCTTATTTTCTGCGGGACACTTTTTGACAAATGCGGGACGTTTAGCAGGACGTTATTAATTCGCGTGAATATCGTACGAAATGTAGTCGAATTTAGTCGAAAAAAATTTAAAGCAAAAATTGCGAGCGCAATTCCTTTCAAGAAACGTTCGAAATTCGTAGAGAAAATTAAACCTGAATTTAAAAAAATTTCCGTTTGGAAAATTTTGTTATTAATTCCGTATCCGTTTTTCCGAATCAAACCGCACGAATTATGACTAACTTACGGACGACTTATGTTTCAAAACGCCACACGAATCCTAAACCTTGATTAATTTCTAGCGTGCACGAAACCTCCCAGTGGGTTAAAACCATGTTCGTTTTTAGAACATTTTATGTCCGCCAAATTATGTTTTGGAACATTATTTGAATATCCATTTTCTGAAAATGTTACCGAGGCATTATTTGGCGGACATGAAACGTACTAAAAACTTTTATGGAACGAACATGGCTTTCGCTTTAAAACCTGTCTTATATTTTAAACTATATTAAAGTAAAGTAAATAGTAAAATTATTAACCTGCAATATTGGTATTGCTTTCACTCTTACTTCCAATTCTTTCATCCTTTTTAAAGATTCGGCCATTTGTTCCCTTATGTTCTGAAAAATTAAAAATATAATAAAAGTTTGAAATTAAATATTAATAAGAATTATTTAATTTGTTTATATAGTTATTAAAATTTAAAGTATTGATTTTTTAAAAATGTAAATCATTTATAAATATCTTCATTCAACACGTCAGCACTATTGTTTTTTTAAGTGTCTAACTTGCACTGCAAGAGCACTCTACAGGTTGAGTAGTGCTGGGTAAGACTTTATCTCTACAGCGAGTTTTGTATAAAAAATATTTTGCAATTAATAAGTTTATTTATTTATTTATTATACATGTTTTAGGACTGTTTGGTCCATACATAGGATTCCTTTTAGTACAGTCAATTATAAAAATATCGTTATCCAAATATAAAATAAAAAATAACATTATTTTAAGACAAAGACAATATTCTTGAGCGACTTTCTAAAATACTTGAAAATGCTTTTAATGTCAATCTCAGTTTAACCACCTTCCCTAATAATCTGAGTTGTGCCATTAATCTTATATAGTAAAGGGGTAATCTAATTTTTAGATAGGACTGTGTTCCTTCTGTAAGTGAGAGATATGGGAAGATCTGCAAATTTTTACTTTCTTCTAATCTTTTTTTATCTATTTCTATTAAATAATTCTTATAAGTTTGTATTATTGCCTCCTTATTTGTCACCAAAAAACAGAGATCGGGTTCCTCCCAAATATACCCCATGTTACATTTATTAAACATTTCTTTAATTTGTATTACCCAGCAATTAATAAGTTAAAATTTTTTAAAAATTAGAATGACAGCCCTGGAGGCAAAAAACCATGTTCGTTCCAAAAATCATTAATAATTGTAATTTTGGAAACCGAATTTGCTAAAAAGTGATATTTTTTCCAAAATGAAAGTAAAAACATTTTCAGATCCGCTGGTATAGAATTTAAGATAAATTTGATAATTTTTTTATTTATATTAAAATTTTACAGTTGTCAAATCAAGTGTCAAGTTTTATAAAAAGTGAATTGTTTAAATAAAAATTCCAATAAAAGGGTTTTTGATGTCACAAGTAAAAAATTTGATGTTAAGTTGACAGTTAATTTGACAACTGTCAAACTGCCAATTTAACATCAACTATGTAATTAACAATCATTAAAACTTTCAATTGGATGGTTAATATCTATTGTTAATTTTGAAATTTTTATTATGCCTTTTATCCTCACTCTACTCTCAGTTTTTCTCATTCCTTCACTGGCCAGACCACTAGTAGATGAATGTAGTACATTCCTCCACTGGTGACTAGTGTACAATATCTCAATTCCTTCAAAGGCGTTGGACAAAATATGTTTTTAGGGGTTATTTACCCCAATTAACCTTACAAACAAAATATGAAGAGTATTGCGATGATTTCGAAGGACCCAAACATTCTTAATTTTCTTGTAACCGAGTTTAACTGCTGTCAGCTGATTTTTTTCTCGCTCTCTCTCTTATTCTCTAATTTCCTCTCTCTTACAGTCGTTATATAGAAGTATATTATAAACAAAAAATTTTTCTTGAATTTTTGTGATTGTGAATATACAACAAACAACGTACGTACTAATCTTCTCTTTTTGACAAATAATCTAAAAATTTCTTAGGATTACTCAGTGTTTGTATGTGACGGTGCATATTACAAAAGTAAATAAAGTATTCTCGAAAATTTAAATATCAAATGGAATATATGTTTAGTTGAAAAAATTGTAGTCTGACCAGCAGCATTTGCTTCGCTCGTGCAGCAAATGTCGAGGCAGGCATTCGACCAGATATGAAGAAAAACAGTATACATTACATGAGCAGAAAGTTCGAATTTCTCAGTGCGAGAATTTTGAACGTTCTGCCCTAATGTAATATACTATTTTTGCTGATAAAGTATTTTATTCGAAATTTTTTCAATGCCTGCCCCTGACCAGCAGCTCTCGCTTCGCTGGTGCAGAAAATGTCGCGGTAGGCATCGTATTCAATCTTTTAATTAATGCGATTATTGTTCCTACAGCTAAGTTAGTTTTACTAATGGCAGCATTGGTAGCAGACAAAAAACAGCAGAATTTGAAAAGTTAACGCCTAAATATTCATAATTAGAATTTACTTTAATTTCTTGATTCTCATCATATAAAAACGACCATATTTGTAATTAAACGCATGGCCTCCTTTTCCGAAAATAACCAACCGAGTTTTTTAAATTTATTTACAAACGGTTTTTTCACAATATTTTTTCAGCGCTCTTAATATTTTTTTCATGTTTATAGAGGGGTCCGACACGATCGCGAAATCATCCGCATATGCTTGAATAAGAATTTTGTTCCAATGATCTATTGAGACCTCCCTTATCCCCTCGTCAATTAAAAATTGATCAAAATCCGCTATAAAAATTGCAAATAATAAAGGACTCAAAACTTACCCTTGCAGGATTCCCTTAGTTACCATTGTTTCTCTAGTTACACCGCGCGAATTTTTAACTGCCACGCACATTAGCTTTGCTATATAAGTTTCTTAGAATATTTATTAGCTTACTCCCAGTTCCGATAGAATATAGTTTTTCCTAAAGTATATCATGACTTACCGAGGGAAAGGCACTTCGGAAATCGACGAATAGAACAAGCAGTTTCCCCTTATCAAGGAACAGGCGGGATTGAATAATTGCATTAAGTGGAAAAATATTATCTAGACAATTTCAATTTTTTCTAAATCCCGCCTGCCACTCCGGTAAGAGGTTATTATTCTCCAACCAGCAACCAAATCTTTCCGCTAATATTTGCATGAATAATTTCGAGATACAATTCATTAATGCGATGGGGCGGTAATTAATGCAAGTATCCGGGAGACATTTTAGAAATTCGTAAGAGATTCCATTTGGACCCAGCGACTTACCATCCTTGCATTTTTTTGGGCTTCTTTTAATTTTAAAGTTAGAAATTTCCGTATCGAGATAAGAGTTACTGTAAATTAAATTCATAGAAAAGGTTTTTCTTTCTGAAACTAATGACTATTTTCCAGAAAGTGGAGGAGTCTCTTGCCAACGCGATTTTATTGAATAGCGAATTATTATATTTTGCTTTTTAAAATTTTTCAAGATTTTTAAATTCTTTTTTTTCCCAACATAAGCTGCTACCAAAGCTTCAGATTTAAAATTGTCCCTTTTATAAACCTTTAACAAATCATTTACCATTTTTTACAATTTAAACAATCATAATCAAACCACACTTTAGATTTTCTTTGTTTTGTATGTCCTTTAACTTTCATACCTAAATTAGTTGCTTCTTCACGGATATGCTCAATTAAAATATTTTCCATAATATTTACATTGGTGGAATCTACATTTTAAAATGAATGAATAACTATCTTTATTATTATTATTTCCTGTATCCCTAATTAGTTTTGCTATAACTGGAAAGTGGTCTGAATTTGTAATCGAACAAAGAATCTCAAGGTCTCTTATTAAATCTAAACCCAAGAAATTGGTCCAAACTAAATCTATTGTAGATTTACCCAGAGTGTTTACAAAAGTGAAATTCGAAGGACTGTCGCTAATCGTTCTTCCATTTAATACTATTAAACATAGAAGATACTAGCTTTACTCCCCTGCTATCTACTTTTGTGTCAAAATTGAATCTTTTACAATTAATTTGTGAATTATTTGGCATAATTTCATCATTTAACTGATTTAAGTGAGCTATTCTTGAATTAAAATCTCCCTCTATAAGAATAGGTAAATTTAGAAAAATTATTTATTATGTTAACTAACAAATCCTCAAATTCCTGCAAAAAAGTTACTATAACGTTATTCGGAGATATATAAACAGAGCCCACTATAAATTCGGGCTTTGCTGAAAATAACAATAATATCACCCAGGTGATTCACCATTGTTGATATTGGATCCTTTTTGAACCAGGTTTTACTCAGACAAAAGATATCTACATTGTTAATAATTAAATTTAAATCCAGTAAATTGCCAAGGCCTTTGACGTTCCAGAATTAAGGATTTGGAGATTGCACTGCATTATGGCGTTATTCAGATCTGTTTTGAGAAAATTTTTTAGGAGGGATGTTATCTTTACAATAATCTTTGATTGATTTATCTTTAGATAAATGTTTAGATTTCTTGAGATTTTCCTTTCTCCACAAGTGATATACTTCCAGGAGGTCTTCCTCTCTTCTGACTGATTGAGGATGTAGTGAAGAAGGAAGAGTTATCACTGTCCTTATTAAGTCCAAGGTCATCCTTGCTTAGCATTTTTTGTGCAGAAAACAGGAAATTTTAAGTGGATGGCAGATCGTAAGCTTTATTTTTCATTATAATTTTTGAACCTTGATGATTGCCATCTTTCCCTGTTGCTCGAACATAGCTTTTGCTTCTTTAAGGTTGTTGTACTCGATTTTCTTTTTCTTCCTACGCTCTCTTTTTATGTCGTTGGAGAAACCAATATTCAACTCTCTAAAATTTCTTGCTTTCTACAAGATGGCTAATTTAACATTCTTATTGTTGAAAGATATCAAGATTGGTCTTGACCCCTCACGGATGCAAATTCTTCTCACCTTGATGATGTCACTTTCCTGAATATTCACTTCGGTTTTAGCAAAAAAAATTTTCACTGTCTCGAGCAAATTAACATTAACCTCCGCACAATCTTCAACTTTAAAGAGCACTAAATTGTTTTCTCTTTCTTTGTTCAAAAGATGACCAATTTTCGATTCACAGATCACTATTTTATCGAATAAAATTGTATTATTTGTTTTTAACACACTATATTTTTGTTTATAATCTAACATTTCCTTTGATAGTTTTGCATTCTCCGCATTTAGCACCTTAATATCACTTTCTATTGAGTCAAGTATTTTATTCAAAACGGATATATCGCTTTGTGTTTTTAGTAAAATTTCTTTTAAATTTTCATTAGAAGTCATTTTTATTATAAAAGATACGATTCAAATAAAAAAAATTCAATAATCAAAAACTATAAAAATCAATGTTTGAATTACTGGTATCACCTAAATCTAAA